CTCGAATATCGCTTTTAATTAAATCAAAACAGAAATCATGTATTCCGAAAGCGTGTTTTTTCATCGCTATATTTTCAGTCGGTTGAATATTTTTTATACGTAGGTTGCTCCATAATTTTTTTTAAAATGGTACTTATAGTGTTGCCCGATGTAAACCATTGTCATATTCGTAAAGTTTGATGTTTTGGTATGTATTCGTGCCCTGAACCTTTTGTCGTACGAACGCTATTTGTATTGTTTACAGTGACTGGTAAACTGCGACTCAACAAAAAAATGAATTTTACACGTGAAGATTTTCGTAAAATGATTTACTACGATTTTCGAAGTAAATTATCTCAACAACAGTGTTTCGATCGACTTCATTTGGCCTTTGGCAATGAAGCACCAACCCTTCAGACAATTTATAACTGGTACCGAGAATTCCGTTGCGGTCGTAGTTCGCTCAAAGACGAGTTTCATACAGGTCGTCCAAAATCGGCTGTTGTGCCACAAAACATCGATGCTGTCAGAAAACTGATTATGGAAGATCGTCATGTGACCTACCGTGAGATTGAGGCATCTTTGGGCATTTCATCCCACAGCATACATACAATTTTGCATGAACATTTAGCCGTAAAAAATATTTGCTCTCGTTGGATCCCACATAAATTGACCGATGAACAAAAAATGGCTCGTGTGAGTTGGTGTAAAGAAATGCTCAAGAAATTCAATCGTGGTGCTTCAAAAGACGTTAATAAAATCGTCACTGGTGACGAATTGTGGATATATGCCTATGAGCCCGAAACGAAACAGCAGTCGACTGTATGGGTCTTCCAAAATGAAGATAACCCAACGAAAGTTGTTCGAGCAAGAAGCACTTCGAAGCGAATGGTCGCCTGTTTTTTCGGGAGAAGTGGTCATGTGGCAACCGTTCCACTAGAGGATCGTAAGACCGTCAATTCTGATTGGTATACCACCATTTGTTTGCCCGAAGTGTTTGGTGAAATAAGAAAAAACAACCACCGTCGCAAAATAATTCTTCATCACGATAATGCGAGCTCTCACACATCTTTTCAAACTACTCGATTTTTGACCGGTCAAAACATCGAACTGATGGGTCATCCACCGTACAGTCCTGACCTGGCAACCAATGACTTTTTTTTGTTCCCAAGCGTGAAGAAAAAACTACGTGGTCAACGATTTTCGACACCAGAAGAAGCAGTTGAAGCGTTCAAAACACACGTTTTGGAGATATCAGTTTCGGAGTGGCACGAATGCTATGACAAATGGTTTCATCGAATGCAAAAGTGTATCGATCATCTCGGGGAATATTTTGAAAAACAATAAAACCATTTTCGACAAAAAACAACTGTGTTATATATGTTTTTAAAAAAAATTATGGAGCAACCCTCGTAATTTAATTTGAACGATAAAGAAAAAAAACGTAATATGATTTTCAAAGTTTAGGCGCTCGTATACATATCTTACAAAGTAAATGCGTTAAATGCGGTTAATTGAATTCGGATGATGATGACGACGATGATTATGATAAAATGTTCGCTTTAATCAATGATATTGATTTCATTAATGTCCTTGCGTCTCCTGATGTTGGCAATTTCATCATTGTTTTATGTAATTTGAGTTTATTCCCTCGTACCAGTGACACCGTAAACTGCTCGAAAAATGAGAGCATCAACCAAAACGACCATTGAATTCGCTTACCTGAAAAGAAATTGAAATAATCATTAGAATTTTTTTGAATTTTGAAAACTGATAACAAATCGCAATTTATTTCAAGAAATATTTTAAATGCGAGGCAGCAACAACATTTCGTAAATCAGGTAAAATAGACGATATTATCGAAACAATCTTAATTTCGAATTTTTCTGATTGCTGGATGCTATTGAATGTATCAGATTTTGTTTGGAATAATTCGAACAAAAAAATCTCTACTGAAATTGAAATTATTGCCATTCGTGCATATGTTGTCTATATTTGACAATTTATGCCTTTTTGCAACGGTCCCGGCAAATGTTCAAACAAATATTTACATTGATTCACGCATGGAGCATTTGCTTTTTATATGCTTGTCGATTGCAAAGGCAATAAATACATGCGAGAGAGAGAGAGGGGGAGGAAGACACGTGGGGGAGTAGCAAAAAAACAATAGCATCGGCCGAGCTGAACGCATTGAACGCATTTGCTTTGGAAGAGATGTTTACGATCTCAATGTATATTGAAGAAGTATTATGCAGTATGTGTTTTTTTTTCTTCTCCGGACTTTATTTCTTTATAAATGCCATTTTCGGTAAATATAAAGCGAACGTATAAAGCATAAAGTATGTTTAATGCTTTATTTTATCGAACGATAAAAATGTCGAAGGAAAACGAATGGAAATGAATAAAAAAGAGACACACACACACGGAAAAGTTGAAATCCATCGCATTTCCATAAAATATGTTGTATATTTTGTTTTTGTTTTTTCATTCGATTTAAGGTTTCAGGATCCGGACTTGTGTCTCAATATTGATGATGATCTCTATCTCATTCTGTCGCTGGCTGCTTGCCGATCTGGCTATATGCGTTTTGA